CCAAAGGGTTGAAACAGGAACACACACAACAGAGCACCACAGACAAACCACTTAACTCAGACTGACGCCAGCTCACTAACAGTCGTGGGAGACCCCCAGCTAACACCACCTAGCAGCACAACTCGTAACTACAAAGCATGCGTGCGCAACAGGTCGGTTCCGGTTATTTTTGGGTTCCCCCTCGTAGTAGGGGGCCAGGCTCTGCCTGTCACAAGCTATGACAAATTGGGGAGTGACAGAGTAATAACACCTCTATAAAAAAAACTTGGTTCAGCTGGCACTGGCTGATAGCATCATACGAGGGCCCCTTACCAGGGTTACAGCAAAGACCACAACAATACTCTTGGTGGAGGGAGTCCTTTGGTAAGGCGAGAGTGGCAGAAGTGGCAACCCATTCTCTTGTGGGGTAATTATGAGAGAACTGCTGCCCTGCAGTGAGGAAGAGGACCTTCAAAGGCTAAGGGAGTAAAAGTAATAAAAATCAGCTTGCTTGGAAGCTATGGGTGGCAGACCCATCAGCAAGATCGGATATGTGGGCTGATATCCTGCATACTCTTAAATCAATTATTAAAGAAACTGAGGTGAAACAAAACCAGACAGGAAGAATGTTGATATTTGGCATGGAAAATAAAACAAAAATTGGGTTCTGAAACATCGGAACCCTTACGGAGGGTGCGAAACTAAGACACGCGATTGAAGTAATGGAAGATTATCAGCTGCACATTCTTGGAATCAGTGAAGTGAGATGGTTAGACTTTGGGGAAATTACGGTACAAAATCGATTTACTTTCCTCTTTTCTGGTGCAACAGGGAAAAATGCTAAACATAGAAATGGAGCAGGATTACTGATAACAAAGCATGGAAAGAATAGCCTCATGGAGTGGAAACCCGTTTCAGAAAGAATACTGACAGCACATTTTAAGTCCCATATTCGAAATGTGACATTAATTCAATGCTATACACCAACAGAAGCAACAGAAACAACCAAGAAAGAATACTACCAGCAGATGAGTGATACAATCAGGAAAGTAGGAAAAAGAGACATAATTATGATAATGAGCGATATGAATACCAAAATAGTATCCAGCAATGAAGGACTAGAACAATATGATTTTGCCTGGTAAGGCCCTTACCAAGCTTTCCTATATCCTCAATCACTTTTGCAAGAGGCGCATTTGGTCTGAAAATACTACATACGCCAAAGTTAGTTCAAAGGTGTTCTTCAAGCATGGAGCCAATTTTCCTACCATGACTGCTTCCCAGTAATAAGATATTTCTTGCATTTTTATGCTTCAACAGAACTTGGGTTTGCTGACCAACTTCCATTGCATCTGTTGCTAGTATACAGATTTTTTTTTCTATTTCCTGAATAATTCTGATCCATGAAGTTGCTGCCGACATTTCCTGCTTTCAGCTTGCAAATTTCCTCCCTAGCTGCCTTTAATTCCCTTTCCAGATGCCCAATTCTCCCCTTCTGTTGCTTCACATGCCTCTGCTACTTTCGAGATACAATACCATGGCATGCTCCTGTCTGGTGCACTGGGGCTGGTGCTTGTACAGTTTAAGTGGAAGCAGAAGCCATTGGTGACCAACCTGCGAAAAGCTCAAAGCTTTAAATTTTTTCTTAATTACTTGCGATGGGGTGAGACTGGGTCCACTTGGTATGTCAGCCACTAATTGGCCTACTGTATCAGCCCCAGTTGATATAAGAGTATGGAGCATTTGCTGGAATGAGAACTGACGGGGAAAACCAAAGTAATTGGAGAAAACCTGCCCCAGTGCCACTTTGTCCACCACAAATTCCACATTAACTGACCTTGGATCAAACCTGTGCCGCTGCAGTGGAAAGCCGGTGACTAACCACCTGAACTATGGCACGGCCAGCTCCACTCTTATTAGAAATACTATTAGCAGTTCCAGACATCATTTCAGCTCACAACAACAACAACAACAACAACAACAACAAATCCCTTATTTGCTAAACCCTGTTAACTCAATTTAAAAACTACAATTAGAACAAATTCTTTTAGGGTCACTGACTGCATAGATTTGATTGTCAGTAGGTAAAGTCAGTCTCAATTCCTATGCACTTCACTTGTGTATCAACCAAATAAATGATAATAAACAAATTACTTAGCTAATAATTTCATTATTTATATTCTACACTTCAGTAAAAAAATTCTACTGTGAAACACTTCACTCAAAATCACTTTTTGATGCACTTCACTATGAAATCAATACTAAACTTATCACTCCAGTAATTTAAAATCCACATTCAACAAACATCAACACACACACAAACCACAATACTATATTACAGCAATACAGAATAATTATTACAAAAACAGGCACAATAATGTCACAATTTCGAGATTTGTAATTGTAACAAGTATGTAGGCCAAATATGGGAAACCATTACATGGCACAGCAACTAAACTGCTCATATAACTAAATTCACGAAATGGCTGACAGTTGGGACTATAACCAACACATAGCAATCCATTCCAGACATTTTGCAGTGCTATAACCAACAGCATATGTGGCCTAGTATTGTTGCATTATGATATGGCATCCACAAAGAAGCAAAGTACTTGTGTGAAATCTTGTGTCTAAGTGGGTAAAAGAACTGTGGAAACCCACAGAATGTTACGTCAACCTTATGACAATGAGGTTATGAGTAAAATCAGTATCAGTGGCATAAACATTTTCAAAGTGGAAGAACTTCAACAGATGATGGACAAAGAAGAACTTTGAGGAAGGATCCTTTGACTGCCAACATGAAAGACATTATCCATGCAATATGTCACCTGACTCTATAGGAAGTAGCAGAGGAGGCTGGAATGACTACTGGCTCATGCCATGCAATTTTAATGGAAGAGTTAGTGATGTATCCAGTCTCAGCAAAATTTATACCAAGACTCTTGACTGAAGTTAAAAAATTGAATGTGACTCAATTTGTGATCTCCTGCAACAAATGAAGGACAAAGAAATTGTTCAGAAATATATGCACAGGTTTATGGGTATAACAGTCTTCATTAACGAGAAGTTCTGATTTTCCTTACCCCAAGTGGACTTGAAAGTGGGGGGGGGGAAAAATATTCTTTCTTTCAATATTTGCAGCACTGTTCATCATGAATTTGGTCCAGCTGGCCAGACAATTAATCAACCTTATTACCTAGAAGTTGTGAAGTGTGTGAGGGATATGGTATGAAGAAAACAACTGAAAATATTGATTGCAGAAACACGCAACCTCCATCATGACAATGCACCAGCATACACAGCACTGTCGGTTTGAGAGTTCAAGGTAAAGCATTCACTTCTTGTCCTTCCACAACTGCCCTACTCACCTGACCTGTCCCCTAGATACTTTTTCTATTCTCCAAAATAAAACTGACCCTGGAATGAAGATTTCCAACAATAGAAAACATCACTACAAACGCAACACATGAACTGAGAGTGATTTGACAGTGTATCAGACTGTGGGAAAGGTGATGGCAAGCCTGAATAGCTACTCAAGAAATTTATTTTTAAGGGGATAAGTGGGACTAAGCTGTAAGTCTAGAAGTTATTATTAGTGATGAATTCTGGAAACTTTCTTTCCAAACCTTGAATGTTATAGCAATAAAGACCAGATTTCTCTAACCTGAAGAACATATGCAAGCACAACATCTTTGCTTCAAATTAATATTGTGTATAAATCATGGAGCTAACATTCTTACTATGAACATTAAGAGCATCTTAATCCTGTCAAATATTTATTCTCATACTTTTCAAAATCTCTTGCTATTATTTTTTTTATTGCTACTGGGGTGGGACCAAGTCCCTTGTACTGCGGCCACTTCTGGCCTATTGTACCAGCCCCAGATGATAAGTGAGGGTGATTGTGGAGCAACTGGTGGAATGAAGATTGGCAGGGGAAACCGAAGTACTTGGAGAAAACCTGCCCCAATGCCACTTTGTCCACCACAAATCCCACTTGACCAGACCCGGGATCGAACCCGGGCTGCCATGGTGGGAAGCCAGTGACTAACCGCTTGAGCTATGGCATGGCCCAAGTCTCTTACTAGCTAGCTTTCTTACCTGTGCACAAGGACAGAAGTGACTCCTGCTGTAGCCAAGAGACCTAAATCTGATGAACCCAAAACACATCCTCGTGGTAAAACAAGCTGACCCTCAGCCATGTCACTCCCAACAGCCCTAAATGAAAACATAAACTGAAATGTACATCGTAGCAAAAGCGCTAGGTTTTTGTTAAGTTTTCTTCGAATAATCTGTCCTGAAACAATTAAACTGCTCATTTATTATGACAGTCTTCAAGATATATATTCCTATTAACAAATTTTGTATTATTTATCACTGGGGTTCTGCACAGTAATTGTTCTATGCATTAAATGGTTGCAGTAAAGAAACGAGTTATGACAGTGCAGCAAACCCACCACAGGCACAGAGCAATGCAGAATCCTATAGAAAAGGATTTTATATACAAGATCAAAGATGATTTATTTCTTCATTGATAAAACAATGCAACAACTGTTAATTCTTGACAAATACAAAACAAATTAACCATCAACAGCCATGTGTTGCACGTACGTACCATCTTCAGGTCTATTACCGAACAGTGGACTACCCAGTAAGAAAAATCATGAAACCAACAAAACAACCCCTTACTCTGTAAAAACAATAGTGTCAACAAGAACTCAGGCCAAGCTACCCCAGAAAGAATAACAGAATAAGGAAATGTGTCAAGTGGACAGATAGTGTGCGTTCAGTGCTGCATATTCACCTAAAACATTCAATATCTACCACTTCAATACAACAACTACAATGTTAGACAACAAAAAAAAAAAAAACAACCAACTGTAGTATATAATACTGTCACGTGTTGGGTAGGTCACGCGACAAATAACTTCACGCCGTATTGGATATAGCAAATTTATTGAACATTCGCTCTCACAAATACACCATTTACAATTATACCACTACTGCCATCTGCAATATCCCAAATACTTCTCCTGTAGTCATTCACTCCGGCAAATGCTAGATTGCAACTGACTGGTTAATCGTTACTCACTACTCTGAATAGTGTTCACTGCCCCTCATTTAGGCTCGGCACAGAAAACAGTTACATGATAGGTACGACTGTTGCGTAACGTTGTGTTTACCGATTGCCTAGCGACAGTTGTTGCACGGGCTCTCCTGTTGCGTGATGCCATGTTTACAAAGGCACTGCTGGGCAACGCTGCCGAGAGTTGTTTACTGCTGCGTAGAAACCGCGGTGTCCCCTGTTACATCACCGCAGAGGGGGAGGTGTTTACCGAGCGTTGTGCTGTCCACGTCACAATATATATGATGTGTAACACAATGGTGAAGCCATTCAGTTTACATGAAATTTATGTTGAGTACATCAGACAATAATTTAAACTTAAACCGAGACCTGAATATGACAAATATGTGTCGAAACATGTTGCCCTGGACAGTGACTCCACCCGCTGGAAGCAGTGTTGTGTCAACAGGAATATAATAAGTACATATTATCTGAAGTGATTTACACAGCACGATGCCATAAAATATGAATATTACAACACCAAAACACCGATTAATATAGCAATTATGGCACTGAAATTCTATCCACTGCTCTATACAAATTTCCAATAAACTTTCTAGCTGTGAATTATCTACAAACATGGGCCATAGGAGGGTAATCATTAGACAGAAAGGTTCATGCTCCAGTCCTGTCCTTTTCTGATTACTCTGTCAATACAATATTTGCACTTCAATGCCCGGAGACAGCAGCCTCCTTATTACTTAAAGGGAAGACCAAAACAAATAAAGACTTACTAAAATTCTTCTCACTTGGGGTGGAATAGTGGAAAGTGGACCACCTTCTGACATTTTATACACAGACACTGAGAACTGCAGTTGGTTGACATAAAATAAACACATAAAACTTCACATATGTCTTTGGGAGTCAGGTTACTGCCAGAAGTTTAAAACACAAACACAGTCTGGGGTAATCTTGCAAGAGTGATACACATACTTCATTATTCTCAAAGAGCACATATTTTTCTTCCATTTCATAACAGTACTTCTTCTGAGGAATGAGAAAGACACTGGACAGGAATTAACTCTGAGGAGGAACCTAATGAAGCAATCTCACCTGACATTAAAAGTGAGTTTGAAGACATAGCTGTAGCTAACAAGCAGCAAATGAGACAAAATTTGTTCAAGCAACAACTAATATTCAGATGCATTTGACAGTGATAACAAGCACAAATGTAGGGAAATGCACATATAACAAACAGGACAAGATGTCAGGCATGCACTGAAAGATTAGTGGTCCATTCTTGAAAATGACTGGTGTGTTATATAATGTTATATTTTAGCATCCTGTTGCACTGATTTATGTCCATGATTTATTCTGACCGTCTTACAGTGCATATATTTATTCACCTTACTCTTCTCTCTTGCACTACATGTTTCGGCACTAAAGTGCCATCTTCAGGTGCTTTTCGATGTACGTCGAACTACTGCATTGCATGCCCTGTTGTCTTTATACTAAAATAACTAAAATATATATTCGTCATATATATTGCTAAATTTTAAATATTAAAAATGTTAAAACTGTTCAGGATTTGTCATCCTTATGTCGTATTTCAGTACGCGAGTCACACCTATCTTCTTCTGTCGGAGTATTCTTCCTTTCATGTGTATCTGTAACGTGAAATTGTTATTTGTTACTACCGCGTTCTGAATTTTATTTGTCATGGTGTGGTATTATGATGTTTAATACTCACTGTGCTTTGTGTTGTGTCTTACTCCTGTGACTGTGTGTGTTATACTGCTGGGCCTGCTGGGTATGTGTGTGTGTGCTGTCTTCATTTTGATTGAGTTATGATGTTGTGGGTGTAGATGTGGTGGGGTGTTGTTATGTTGTTCTGTGTAGATAGTGTGTAATTCGTGGTATATTGGGTTATATATTTCTTTATTTATATTGTTCATATGTGTGTTTTTCTTTGTCGTTCTGTA